CTCGAGTAGAAACCTAATTAAGTGGAGAAAATAACGACATCTGTTTAACAAATTAGTGGGAAATATCATGCCGATCCCCTGTGAAAAACCATTTATTAGGTTTAAATGACCACAGAACCTTTTGATGGAAAATGGTTTGAATAATTCGCTCGTGTTCGCATGGTCAGTAGATTCAGATGAGTCTTCCACGTTAGCCTCTGCCAAAAATACAATGGAACAACACTGGACTCTAGATAGTTGATAATTAAATGAAATCTGATTTGCGATAATTCGTTCTGGTCGCTTAACCCTTTAGGAAAGATACAATTTTCTCATAACTAACTAATAAGGAAATGAAAATACTCCTCATAGTATCATGAGTAGCAGTAAATAAATCCTAAAATTCATTAGCTCTGTATGTTTTTGATATTCGATGTTGACCAAATTAGTTTTACTGAACTGATATAGCTGAAAGCGTCCGGTCATACGTACGCACAAGCCATCAGTGGGTACGCCGTACTCCACATCTCTTACAACCGCTAGCCAGCTTAGATTAGTCACTTCTCCATATATCGATATTTCATCACATATGAATTCGAACCCTTTCGCTTATGGCTGTCGATATGATTGGGTTGTCACATTTCAATTACAGAAGGTGTTACTGGTTAGGGTGTTGTCAAACTCCAAATACTAATGGTGTTTTTACATGTATTTACTTGTACTTAGACCCAACTTCAGAATCCATGAAAAGTCCGTTTTAGTGTCTTTCTTTGAAAAGGAGCAACCTTATTGAAACTAACTGCCCTGATATCGTTATATTAGAAATACGAGGTGACGCTTTCTCATTCTGGCAATACGTGGAATGTAATCAGTAAACAATAAAATAAAGTCTGAATATTGTGATTTGCCATTATGATCCTTTTACCATGATGAGACCAGCGAAATCCCTAGAAATTTTTGTCATCAGACCACAATTTCATGCAATGGAAAACCATAATCTCGTGACTAAGTGTACCCCGATGAAACTACTACATTCCGTCATATGGCCTTCAACAGTGATATGAAAAACTTTGACAGCTTTTATTGCCTATCAGCTAATTAGAGATATATGCTATTGATTTATCAGATCCACGCCGTGAGACAAGCACGGAAGATTCTAGGATTATTTCCACACCAGTATTATAAACTTGGCGCACATCACTAACCACTATCAAACGTCAAGATTACAGATTCCCTATCCATAAATGTGTGTAGCGAGCACTCAAAGAAGTAGGACGTTTCAAAAACAAAGACAGACGTCTCATTTTAAAAGTCATTTAACTCACTGAAACTATCGATAGTGTTCAACTAAACTCGGTCGCTAAGGGACACTCACTACTACCCTAAAAAGTCAAGAGAATCGCGCAATCGACTGCCTACTACCAGCGGTCTGCATCTACGGAGCCTGTTACACAACAACTGGTTAGGAATATAGTGATCTACTTTTATCGAGAGAACGCGATTGGTTTAATGGAAACAACTTTATAACCAATTGTACCAGTGATTGTTTTACTGTTCTTGTTTGTTTTATTGTGCTTAAGACTTTCTTCCAACCGTTACTAATAATGGTCAGCATTGTGCGTCACGATAATCGGTGTTCAGACATACGTAACATGCAGACCAACCATCTCAGTCGATGAAAATTCACAACCTCACTAACTGATTTACCGTCATTCCCTAATACACTGCATCTAACCTCACTATTACTTACCCCGTGATCCCAGCAGACGCCAGCAATATTTCTAAGGCATATGTGGTCAAATACTAGTAGCTTGTAGTGGCATTGGACCATAACCACACAATCTTCAAAGCTGAACACAAGACTACTCAGAAAATAGATATTCAATATTTAACCTGGGGAAATACCTAACGATGGAGAAGGCGCGAATAAGGGGTTGAAATTACTGGGGTTAATCCAGTGGCATGGCTCGGCCATGCAGGCGTGGTCTCTGCTGAATGTTACCTTATATCTTCTATTCATATTAAATATATTGTTCTTTCTCTAGCCTAACCTTGTTCTACATCATGTATTGGTAATTGATACTATACAGTGAGTTGGTGTAGTCGATGGTGTGATGTCCACGTAAGATCTCATAGATTAGGCAGTTATATCATGACGAATCTAGAATTTTGGGATTAGGTCTATTATTAGAGCAGTACTAATATCATAGTAGACCATAATTCTACAAGCTTACGAATATCTTCTACTCCTAATGGCAACGTTCCGCAGCCGTAAATGAAAAAAAAACACACAACGGACTGCCGCACTGTATACTCGTCCATTTATTGATAGACGAATATCTCGCCTTCGCCATAGGTGACGCAAGTTGACACAAGCCAAACGAGCTTTTCGAATCTGTGTTTAGATTTCGTCAGACACCAACCCATAACGGCTGATCAGACTTCCAAGATAAGTGAAGTTGTCAACGCGTTCGACTACTTTACTCCCTATCCTTAGTTCAGGTGTTGACGCAGACCAGTCCTGAAGCAACAACTTGCATTTAGAGGGAGAGAAGCGCATTCCAAACATTCTGGCATTGTTGCTTAGTGCTACCAGAAGACTCTGCATTTTATCAGCGTCTTCACCAAACAGGACTATATCATCTGCGCATTCTAAGTCGATAAGTGGACCTCCTGGACGGAGATCAATACCCGAGAACTCAGTCGACGAGAAAGTTATTTCCATCAGTAATTTTATGATGAAGTTAAACAGAAATGGGGAAAGTGGACAGCCTTGACGGACACCACTTGAGGTTGCAAAAGCAGATGATAGTTCGCCATAAGCTCTCACTCGACTGGTAGTGTTCTTGTAAAGAGCCTTCACAAGGTTTATGTACTTCTGAGGTACGCCTTTCAATGACAGACACTACCACAGAACCCCTCGGTCTATAGAGTCAAATGCGGCATTTATGTCAAGAAATACAACCATCATCGGACGACGACAAGTATCCCTGTGTTCTGGAACCTGACGAATGGTGAATATGTGGTCGATGCAGCCACGATCAGGTCTGAAGCCAGCCTGATTTTCACGTGTTTGCAGTTCACGAGTCTTAGTTAAACTAATCCCTCTATGGTTGTCACAGGATGATCTTGACCCTTTCTTATATATCGAGACAATAAGTTATTGCCACCAGTCAGGTGGGATTACGTCTAAATCTCAGATTTTGGCTAAAATATTAGTCAACCTAATCGCTAAAATTGGACCACCATCCTTAAAGACCTCTGGGGCTAATCCATCTGGACCAGCTGCCCTTCCTCGTTTCAGATTAGCTATAGCCTTTTGAACTTCTGCTAGAGTTGGGGGACCTATTTTAATGTTCCATTCACACTGTCTGGGAATGGAGGGTAGTTGTAGAGTAGCTGAAGGCCAGCTGAACTGCTCCTTAAAATGTTCCACTCATCGATCTGGGCTGAGAGCAGAAAAGGGTGTCGTCTTCTTATGAGATAGTCCCACTTACACAGAGAATTTCTTCAGCTATAAAGTGTAAAAAACATACGATACACATAAATATTTGTCATCTGACGTCTTACGAGATATACAGATCTAAAGACACACCTAATACCAAGTTAAGCTAATATTTAGACATGCTTCGGTTCTCAAGCACTTCAAATACACGATTGTGGTGGTCCGTATTCGGTATAATCCTTAAACTTGGTATACAGTTCGTCTTGATAACCGTTCTATATAACGCCCCAACGGTATATTAATCAGAAGGCGAATACGAAGCTTTGATTACGTTTACTACGAAACCACACATATATATCCAAATGTACAGATGCGCTAAACAAGCATAGAAAATTTGTGCCGAAAGGCAAGCAAGCGAGCGAGACGAGAGTATGTGTTGAATATGAATAACATGGACATATATATATATATATATATATATATATATATATATATATATATATATATAGTGAAATGAATGAGTAATCGAATCAAATAAGCGGTTAGTAGTAAGACTAGCAGAGTGAATAAATGCGTAGGCAGTAAGCAATATTCAAGCATACGTATTTCATACAAGCACAATAATAAGGGTACAATAAATTGTTATAGTGCGGATGACTTTGTCCGCTAAATAAGTTAGCGAAAGGGCTTAATTGAGTTAAATGAGAATAAACTCAATTGCACGTGACTCGCTATAAGATGACCGTCTTGGTTCAAGCCTCTCAATGTCACTGAAACGAAAAGCGATAAATTTCATTTCAGGTCAGTTTTATCATTTGTCAGTGGCCCAATCCTTAGTGAGCTACACTCCGTTTCTTGTGCCTACTCATGCCAAAATATTCCTGTAATAACGTTGTTTGTGTTGCACGGTCATCAAGGTGGCCAAAGTACCTGTATTTAGCGATAGATAATTCATGTTTGGTATTACCCGTGTGGTATGAATTCAACGTCAGTCCCGTAATACTCGAGTAGACCCTCAATCGTCTACATTATTAATCCATACACTCTTGGGCACACCGAAAAATATTGAAGCTCAGTCTCGATTCAAATTTTAGGGGTAAAATTCACAAGTTGGATGTAGAAAATAGAGGAATAGATCAAGCAGCTACATTCTATTTTTTATGAGCAGTCATGTTTTGTAATTTGCTACAGGATTACGTGATTCATACTGCTTCTAGAAGTACTTCGATAGGAAACTTGATACACTCATAAGAAATGAGGAAAGTATTTATTTGTAATTAGTTTTTATTTCTATCTTGGCCATCAAATATGCCTGGGATCATACCGGAAGGCACCAGTGGTCAACTTTTACTAGGTTAGGAACTCTGTTAAACGAAAACTTCTTTTCAGCCCTCAATCCCTTGAACCAAATGCTTTGCTTGAAAATAACATCAGTTGTTATTACTGAGCGCTTATTATCCTCCTACGTAACCAAGACTTACTTCTTATAACAGAGACGTAGATCTGAAGAAACTATTATCAGTGACTAAAAATATGGAAACTTAGGGATTGTTTATTGAACGTTGGAGAGCGTAGTATTTGTAGTAAGTCCGGTACGTCAGGACTAAGTGTGCAACTTTCAGTCCTAGTTAGAAGTGATTTATTCTTAGTTTCTTACTTATTGGAACTTTCGGTCGAATTTTTAATGTTCATTATATCGTTGTTGAGCAAAGAGTTATTTAGCTTGTTGTTGGTCAGTTGTCTTAGGTAAAGTATATTTCTTTTCCAAAGGCCTAAGGAAACATTTTTAGGCGATAGGTTCAGGTATAGTGCAAACTTAGGTTTAAACTCTATTTCACTCACTTAGTTTGGATCGTCTTGGGAGGATGTTTAGTTTTCTTCCGTGATGTAGATTATTGGGACGAGTTGTATAACTCTCCTATTATAATTGGCTTGGTGAATGAAAAAATCAACCTTAAGTTAGGTGGCAATTAAGGTCCACATTACCCAAAATGTTTCACCGAGAGACTTGAGTTACACGAGGTTTTTATTGTTTCTAGAAGAATTCCTCAAGACGAGAAATTTTCAAATTTATCCAACTTTTGACTAAATGTACACCGAATTTCCTCATAAAAGTTTGCGTTCATGTCCCCAAAGTTTTCTTCTGTTTACACTTAGTTGGTTATCTCATGTAACCTAAATTTTACCAGTCTTGGGCCTAACTGTAGCACATGCAGTAAGAGTAAAATACTTACATATATGAGATAACTAATAAAATAAATGTAGCGTTTGTTACCCACTTCCAGGAAACAAGATATTTAGTAAGCCTTTGTTTCGATTGAGTAAAACCTTATGATTAGTTTCGACACAATAATTGAATCTCCCGGTAAGAGTTCAATCACTGGAAATTTAGATGAGGAAAGTGTTATCTTTGAAAGCACGTCTACTATAAAGTTAAACAAGAATGGAGAGAGTCGACAGCCCTAACGAACACCACTCGAGGTAATCAATTCTGATGACAGTTTGCCATAAGCTCTCACTTGACCTGTTGTGTTCGAGTAGAGAGCCTTTATAAGGTTAATGTACATTTTTGGTACTTCTTTCAATGGCAAACACTGCCATAGAACCTCACGATCAACAGAGTCGAATGCTGCCTTAAGGTCGAGAAATACTACGGTTGTGGGGCGCCTGAAAGTGTGCTTGTGTTGTAGAACCTGACGTAGTGTGAATATCTGGTCTATACAACCATGTACAGGTCGAAAACTAGCCTGGTTTTCTCTAGTCTGTTCTTCACGAGCTTTGATTAGGCGTCGAAGTATTATTGAAGCTAATATTTTAGACATTATATTAGTCAAACTGATTCCTGTGTGATTGTCACAAGAGGACTTTTGCCCTTTCTTGTAGACTGGTACGATCAGTGACCGAGACCAGTCAGATGAGATTACGTCCAGTTCCCAGATTCTACGTAAGACCTCAGTCGAGAGTTGGGAGAGTCAGCTCTCCCTCTCCAAATGCTCTCACATGGCCACGTGCATACAACCACTACCAGGGGAGTCCTACTCACTGCCTTCTCCCAATATTACTGTCGCCTACGAAATTGAGAGGACGAAAAGCGAATGTCCGACGCCATAAATGGGTGAGTTGGAAAATCCTGATTACAAACCAATGGTGTACATGGGCTTCAGAATCCTAAAGGAACAAATGGCGTATGAACCTGTTGTTCGTCACCGGCTACCATAGGATCGCATCTCATGACGTTGTTCTACTGCCTTGTGGATCAGACTTTTGGGTCGGAGGCTTCGCGTGTGGCCCCCTAAGAAAACCACGTGCTTCGGTTTGTGCACCTAGGCAGTATCCCAGCCCTTACATAAATCAAATGATTTATATGGCGTATATCTGTTTGGTGCCTCCTTGTACCAATGTTTATGTGTTTAAATAAATACATGAATAACTTATTTTATTAATTAACTTTGTATAAGGTAATTTCAATAGTTAAGATCATGAGTTCATTGAAGCTAAACCATTATGAATAACCTGGAAGCAGTGAACCATCGTTTCATCCTATTGTAGGACTCCTCAACAATGCGTATCCACTTATTCTGCTTCGTGAGATTAAACTATAAAACATCAATATATTTACACTTAATGTGAAACTTTTCTTTTTTTTTGTTTTTATACTTTAGATATATAAATCTCTATATCTATATATCTAGATATGGATTCAGAAAATAATCCATCTAATATAGAAGATATTATACAATTAATAAAACAATCTAATCATGATATTAAATCATTTAAAGTTATCTATGATAAATTAACAAATTCTATATCTATAAATGAATTAAATAATTTTCTAGAAATATTAATTAATCATTTACATGAATTACAAATCAATACAATTAAGAAATTATTAATCGATAATATCAATCTATCTCATTGGATTAATTATAATGATTCAATAATTTATAAAAATATCATTCATTTATATATAACATGTTTAACATATTATCCAAATTTAATTTATTCTATATGTGATTTATATATTAATCAAATATTTTATTTAAAAAATTTAATTGAACAATTCAATCATCAATATTTTAATCAATTCATTGATTTTTCATTAGAATTTTTTATATCGATCTATCAATTATTACCATTACAATCGATGAATATTGATTTATTGATTGATTTATTAATAAAACATTTTCCAAATTGGCGTAAATCTATTAAAGAATTATTATGGTCAACATATCATTTAATTTATTTATTATGTCATCAACAATTAAGAAAATTATTAACAAATATACATAAATGTAATTTATTATCTATTTTATTTCATATAATTATTGATATCGAATTAAATCCTAATGGAATTCAACATGAAAATGCATTGAAATTATTTGAAAAGACAATGATTTATTCATTATTTGAAAAATTTGATCCAACTATCTTGAAAACAAATTTAGGCGTCTTATTTCATACCATTGAACAAAAAGATGGAATGATTGATGATAAGAATTGGTTTAAACTTGAATTGATTAGTTGGTTATTAATCACACATTTCAATAGTATATGTATAGAAATCAATGATAAATCATTGATAGAATTAAATTGGAATTTATTATGTACAATATTTCGACATGTACGTGATTTATTCTCTGAACATATCTTACCAGTTAATATATATATGGTAGGTTATCCAATAATTTGTTTTTATATATGTAGTTTACGTGGTGGTATAGTTATAAATTTTATTGATTTTTTATGGAATATTGTGAAAGATCATCAACGAGATCAAGATAGTCGTCTTATGGCATTATCCTATTTATGTTTTATATTAGTAAATGGAAAATTTTGTTTTATTGAATTAATTATTGAAATAATGCATGATATCAGTACATGGTGTATTGATTATACTTATCGAAATCGTACAATATTAACATATTGTAATTCAATATATTTATTATCAGAACATAAAGTGTATTATGCTATATGTAATGTATTAATTTATATTTTTGTACAATTACATTCAGAATTATTAAAGGATGAATATTTTCAAAATTGTAATCGTTTACCTATAGCACAAATTTGTATATCACCATTGAAACCATTAATTCATATACCGATAGAATTACGTCAAATATTTTTTCATATTATATCAACTTATCAATTAAGTTGGTCTATGATTAGTTTAACACAATCTATACATGAACAAGATTATTTCAATAATGATATTTCATTAACAATAGAAATGATTCAATCTATAAGACCAAATAAAATAATTCATATACCAAAGAATAAATGTTTATTATCACTTTCATTATCAATGATTAATTGTTTATTTCGTAGTATTAATTTAGGAAAATGTTTAATGAATCAACAAATGGATCATTCTGAAGATCATTCTAAATCTAGTCCAAGTTTATCAATATCATTATCTTTTCATAAAAAACGTAAAATAGAATCAAATAGTGAAGAAAATATCACTATTAATGAATGTATTTCAAAAGTTACTAAAGAATCAGAATAGATCATTTGCAATATTTTGGAATAGATCTTGTATATATTTCAATCTTTGCTATTTTTCTATTGTTTATTCTATTTGTACATATTCAGTAGTTAATTTTGAAATTCTAATAAACGTTTAATCAAGTTTCTGTGGATATGTTTTGGTTTTTTTTCAGTATCTCAGTCCGTAAGTAATAGTGAGGTTAGACGTAGGGTATTAGGGAATGATGGTAAATCAGTTGATGAGGTTGTGAATCTTCATCAACTGAGATGGTTGGACCACGTCTTGCGTATGCCTGAACACCGATTACCACGACGTGCAATGCTAACCGGTGTTGGAAATGGTTGGAAGAAAGTTAGCGGCGGCCAAACCAAAACGTGGGGTCAGTGCTTGCAGACACTATCTTGTAGTCTGAGCCATGTTGGTAGATGCAGACTACTTGGTTGGGGTCCGCGTGACTATCGTAACCAATGGTTGAAGACAGTGGGTGACATGGTTCAGAATCGATCACAATGGCGTAGGTGTGTACACTCTTTGTCTTCCCTTAAACTAAGAGATTAAAATTGCTTCATATCCTTCTTTCTATGAACTAATTCTTTCTTCCTGTACTATATCCTTATTTGCAATCTTCCTTCTATATATTACCACCTCTGAATCAACTACTTTTATGAATCCCAGTTTGTTTTATTAGTCTGTAGAGCTGTCTTGTGTTCCCTATAGCCGCCGCCTTTTCCATCTCTTTAGCTTTCGTTGCCCACCACTGCTCACGGTCGTTCCTTAGACTTTTGCTTAACCTAGATCTGATTTGTTGTCGCTCTTCATCGTGTTCAGAGCCTGATGGAATGAGTTTACGAGAATCCATCAGTGCAATGGACCTAGAGGAAATCCATTGGTTCTTTGTAACCCTGTGGTTTAAGTCACTGATAGATGTCACTGCTGTTTCCACAGCTGTTTGTATAGCTTTCCAAGCAACATCTGGGTCAGCTTCGTTTTCAGAACTACCTAACTGTGACCTCAGTTGTCCCTGGAATCTACTTTCGGCTTTCTCGTCACTCAATTCAAATGAGTCTTCTTAGTGTGGCTTTTTTGCGTCCAGTGAGGCGCAAACAAACGCATGTTCGTATTAGAGTATGGTCAAAGTCCAAGCAGGTATTCCAGAGCAAGCAACAGTCTTCTATTGAGCCTTTCCAACGATGGCTGATGGCAATATGGTCTATTTGAGTCCATCGTGGGTTTGGTGCAGGTCGCCATGTTAGACGATGTTCCTGTTTATACTTAAAATAAATGCTCGTTAAAAATGAACGACTGTCTGAGCACAGTTGCAGCAGATGATCATTATTATCTGTTCGCTGAGCCGGATACTAAAATACCAACCTAAATGTCTTTCTGTTTGGTTTAAGCTACCTACTTTTGCATTCAATTCACCTACTACGAGTACTATGTCTGAGCGTTTAGCTTTGTACCAAATCTGTGCTATCACACACCTACGTGATTTGTTCTAAACTTTAGACATAAATTATCTTATTCTTTCTATTTTCCCTCACTAATTACTCACGTGTAACTTCGAGCATGCTTTATACATGTATCTGCTAGTACGTACGTATCTGTCTTTTTCACGCTTATAAAATCTGAGTCTCATATTACTCCATTTGTCTGAGAAAACAAGTGTCTGAAATAAACTCGCCCAACCTAATTCGTATTTGGTTTATTACTACTGCCGTCACTCAAACGAGGTTAGCTTGTGTAGAATATGCAAAGTCAACCGGAGATCTATATTCATGGCTCATTCATTCGAGAGTCATAACAGAGTGAGATCGCGGCTCTAGATATCTAGCTAAATATCTCGATTCTTCATAACATAGAACTCGATTGATTGACTATACATGCTAAGCTAAACAACACATATTTTTCATGTACTAACCAACTAATTCTGACTACACAATAAACTGCTTGGTAAGAGTAAAATAAGTACAATTAGAAACTAGACACTGAGTAATAAGATACTTTAACTTGTTTTGTGTCTAAAATTAATAGTCTCTTCATGGATTTACTGATACACTAATCACTTACCAGGTGGTAGTAAATGGAATCTATAATGGTGATCGGATATTGTACATAAATTAATCTTCTATTCCCATTTCATACAAGCATTATGTTCTGAAAACGTTGCGTACTAACATATCACTTACAACTAAATGTAAAACTGAATTCTGATGCTTCGAGTTTGTTGGCATTGTAGTATACTCTGTATAACCATACTTAGACAACATCCTTACGAGTTATAAATTATTTTCGCCATTTTTGTGATCATCGTAGATATTGACATGATCTATACTGTTGATGAATTGCACTAAGTCACTTCAAAAATCGTTTCGATTTGTTGTTGCTAATGATCGCTTATCGTAATTCATTTATCAATTACAAATAAAAATGTACCCTGTTTGGGTAAAGGCTAATGAGCTACTAATATTCACCTGTCGGAATCGAAGATAGTGAACTGGAGTTCCAACCTACGGTTTGCTGGCTGAAAAGTGAGTGCTCTAATTACTAGGTCACAGGTTCACACAGTACCGACAAACTTCTTTAAATCACCACTAATCAATCCATAATAACAAACGGGTGTTAATTTTTTAAAATCCAAATGTTGTGCATAAATTTATTTTTTACATATTTTATTCGTGTTATTTCTCAAAAAAAATTACAGGTAAGTTATCTGTGATTTGTACAAATAAAATTACAGAAAGGAGTTATTTTGTACAAATTTGTACAGATATGGAAGGAATCCAATAAAGGCGGCTTGGTTGTTGAGTGGTGGTGGTGGGGCTTGACTGTATGCACGCACCTTACCGTCCAACTGATGATTCCAACTCAAACCATTGTCTTAAGGCGTCAGCAAGTAGATTCGGCAGACAAGCCAAATCTCGTAACACTAAATAATATGGTAACGGGAATACGTCCATATAAGGTTGTAGTTTACCGGGGCCACAATATCGCCGAAGATCAAATATCGAATGCTTTAAAATAGAGGAGAATGATATTAAAAGAAAGTAAATTTATTCAAATTACGAACGGATCTGAGTAGGGCAACCAGTGAAATAATTCGGAACGCTGGATAGTCATTTTTTCCTCACCAGTATCCAACCATGACCCCGTCACTGGGAACCGAAATCAGGACCCTCAATCTCGTTCACGGACGCTTAACCTCTAGACCACTGACACGGACCACAGTAATGTACAAGTCTAACTTTAACAAATCCATGTTCGGGTACGAAACTGAATGTCCTACGTTCGATTTCCGGTTGCGGATGGACCCTACTGAGTCCCATATCAAGACGAGACGACTGTGCAGTGCACTGGTTGTCCAACTTAGATCAGTTTGTAGTTTTAATAAAATTCAAAAATTTCTACGACCCTATACTACAAAAATAATTTGCTAGAAATGAACAGCTATTTGACGTCAAGTAGTCTAATTGAACTTAATCAGCAAGGGGAGTTGTGGAGATTGTAGTATTTTTTACATTTGAATTCACGAGTCGATCTAAGATAGACTATTATTAAAAACCTGGAAGCACTGGACAGCTGTTCCGTCTAAGTATGAAACCCCTCAGCAGTGCGCATCCATAAAGCAAAGGTCCTGAGTTCGAGTGCCGCGTGTAGGATCGTTAAAAAATTGGATTTTACCAATTGAGTTGTAAAGTATCTACTATCTGAATGATTGGTTGGAGGCAATTGTGATAACAAGCCCATCAAAAAGACATATCTGCAATCTTTAGGATACTGTTGGTTCCTGCGAGATCACATAACTCATATCCAACAATCTGCTAACCTGATATAATTTTAGTCCAACTCCAACTGAAGGCTAATTGTTACACTGAGTTCTACTCTGACGAACATCGTACTCTTTGGTTTTTTTTAAAGAAACACAGGTGATTGAACTTTTAGCACTGTATAATTGATCAACAATCATTATTCATCATAAGACAATGACAAATAACTAAAGTACACTCACTTTTTTTCGAACATCATCTAGAATAAGGCAAACAGGGAAAATATGAGAATCACGTGCTAATCGAACAGCGGCTTGTAGTGATGGACTTTGTGGATCTTCTGAGAAGACACCATCTGATAGAATAAGTAATAATTGACTAGGAATAGCATTATTACTGGTAGAATTCATGTAACCAGTTGAATTCATCAAGTGAGTAGTACACTGTAGTAGCTAGAATAAAATAAATGGAGTGATTGTTTTAAGGTTTGTATGTAATAACATCGGAAAAGATAACTGTACAGTGGATGATAAACTTTTGTTAATCACATCAAATAAAGACCATATATTTTGGTGGGGTTTTATTCTTTGAGTTGGATGGTTTAATAGTGAAGATTTCATTGTTCATTAACAACAACAGTGCCTTAGAGAGAAGTTTGGACTGATGATATCATTCACAAGAATAACGAAAGCTTCAGGATTAACCGATCTAGTTTAGAGAGCAAACTTGGACCTAAGTTACAAATCTTCTCCATCTCCAAGATGACATATATATTGGATTTTGAAGTGAAAAAAAATGTGCACCTCAAGTGGATACTTTTGGTGTTGTTGAGTTTTCTGATCTAGATATTTTGATAGTAGAGCTTTCACTGTCATTCTGACAACATCAGCGATTAATTCATGAATATTAAAAGTTAGCAATGATTAGAATTTTATTGAAGGGGTTTTGTGGAGATTGTGTTTAATTTGTAAGCTATATTTGTAACAGACTGGTCTCACTTGTGTTACTATTGGAAAGAGTGCTGGAACGTTGTAACGTCCTAGTATGCACGCACGCGACTCTACCAAGGAACGAAACCTGGGTTTGATTCTTGATGGAGTCGTGAGTTTAGTGGGAAATTCAATCACAATGTCATTTCTACTAAGACTAAACTACACAGTATATATGCTAGATACGAAAAAAAGAATAATCAGATCACATACCTGAACAAGTGATGTTTTCGGTTGTCCAAAAGTGAATTGACTTAATACACGTGGACCAGCATCTGTTACCCATGGATCTTTTAAATCATGAAGTACACGCACTGATTCACCGAAACTATTAAACAATGAAGTGTAAATTATGAAATTTAGTCATCTTTCATGGACATTTCATATTCTAT